CGTCCCCCTTTTTCCCTTGTTGCTCCTCCTGCTGGTAACCAGAGAATTTTTGTCGGGAAAAAGAGCAGTTGCTATTCCTGAAACAGCCCAGAGCTGTGCCCGCTCCTTGTCCAGGGCTCAAAACAGGCTCTGAGGCCGATCCTTGTGAGCAGAGTGTGCCTGACTCGGAGCAGGGAGTAGAATCTCTCTCACCATCCTTATTCCACCCATTTCAGGGGCTGAGGAAGCCATGGGAGTTGGAATAGCTGAGACTTCTTGGCTCTTTGGCCTTTTCCTTGCTTGGGGGAGAGAACAGGGCACCTCCTCCCTGCCTATGGCAGGGCACGCGGCTCTTTCCCCCTCTCCTGGGCTCGCCCCGAGCGAGGGGGTGACGCTCCCTCTTTTTTTCTCACAGATAAATGCATCACCAGCGAGCTGCTGAAGGACATCCCCCTGCCAGGGGTGCTGGGGGGCAGCCTGAGCGCCGAGGCCGAGCTGCTGAAGGGAGGTGAGAGCTGGGCAAGAGGCCAGGGGGCTGTTTTCCTGCTGCCTCCCCCACATCAGACATTATCCCACTGTCCCCCCTCCCCACAGGCCCGCTCCCCTCCCCAAAAGAGCTCATCAACGGGAACATCAAAACCATCACGGAGTATCGTGAGGAGGAGGATGGGCGCAAGGTGAAGGTGAGCACTGTCTCCTGGGCTGCCATTTTAGCTTCTCCCTGCTGCTGAGCTCCCCTTCTCCCCTTCTAGAACCCTCGGCTCTGCTCTGGCGCAGGGGCTCATCCTTGCCTGCACAGTCAGGCAGCACCAGGCAGCCACATGTCAGCAGGGACGTCCCATCACAGCCCCATTTTGACTCTGCTGCTTCTGGCAGTCCCAGACTTGGCACGTGTGGGGTGGAGGCACGTCTGCCGTCCTTCCTCCTGCATTGATCGATTCTTCTGCACCTTTACAGATCATCCGCACCTTCCGCATTGAAACCAGGAAGGCCTCCAAAGCGGTGGCCCGTCGGAAGGTGAGCGCCTTCTCCGGGAATGGAGAGGGAGGGAAATCTGTCCTCCGGCAGGAACCACTTCATTTCCCAGTCCTCTGCTTCTGCCCGTTCCTTCTCAATGTCCCAACAACCCCTCGGTGGAGAGCATTTCCCTTCCTGCATGTGTTTGGCAGCTGCTTAGGGACATGCTGTGAGAGTGAGCCCCCTTTCCTCCCTCCATTTTCTCCCCAGAACTGGAAAAAATTTGGCAACTCGGAGTTTGATGCCCCTGGCCCTAACGTGGCCACGACCACTGTGAGCGATGACGTCTTCATGACCTTCATCACCAGCAAGGAGGTGGGTTGGGTGCGGTGGGAGCTCGTGGGCCGGTGGGGAGCCCCTGGTGAGGCTGTGCCAGGGTGCGTGGTGGGTCCCACGGGACTCAGGGGTCTCCCTGTCCCGCAGGACCTGAACTGCCAGGAGGAGGAGGATCCCATGAACAAACTGAAGGGGCAGAAGATCGTCTCATGCCGTATCTGCAAGGGCGACCACTGGACTACCCGCTGTCCCTACAAGGACACCCTGGGGCCGATGCAGAAGGAATTGGCCGAGCAGTTGGGGCTGTCCACAGGCGAGAAGGAGAAGCTGCCCGGAGGTACAGCACCCCTTTATCCTGAGACGGGGGGGCAAGAGGGGGCCGCTATCTGCCTGCGGCTGTGGGGCGCCTCACCTCCTGCCTGTCGCCTTTCCTGCCCTCAGAGCCAGAGCCGGTGCAGGCTCAGCAGAGCAAGACGGGCAAGTACGTCCCCCCCAGCCTGAGAGACGGAGCCAGCCGCCGCGGGGAGTCCATGCAGCCCAACCGCAGGGGTAAGTCAAGGCCTCTGCTCGGCGTGGGGGTAGCCTCCCCGGGGCTGCTGTGTACGGCTCATGCCGGCTCTTGGTCATGGTCCCGCCAGCAGCCCTGACCTTCCTTGGTCTTCCCCCCACCCCAGCCGACGACAATGCCACCATCCGTGTCACCAACCTGTCCGAGGACACGCGTGAGACTGATCTCCAGGAGCTGTTCCGGCCTTTCGGCTCCATCTCTAGGATCTATTTAGCCAAGGACAAGACCACCGGGCAGTCTAAGGTGGGCATGGAGGCATTTTTCTCTTTCAGGGGGCCTGGGGAAAGACCCCCCCCATTTTCTCTCACCCTCTCGCTTTCTTCCCACCCCAGGGTTTCGCCTTCATCAGCTTCCACCGCCGGGAGGATGCGGCCCGGGCTATTGCCGGTGTTTCCGGATTTGGCTACGACCACCTGATCCTCAATGTGGAATGGGCCAAGTAAGTACCAGGGGTTGGCTTGGAGGATTGGGGGTGGCACATGCTCCATCTGTGCCGGGGGGCTGCACACCCTCTCCCCTCTCCTTACTGTGCTCTCTTCCTCGTCCGCAGACCTTCCACCAACTGAATCCGGTGCCATGCCAGCTCCCGGCGAGAGCAGTCGGCACTTCTAAATAAAGACACACGGTCTGGTATGCACCAAGGTGTCGATCTGAGCTGGGGTGGGGTTCACTGGGCAGGGAGCCCCCCCGTCCCTGTCCCCACAGTGTCCCTGTCACTGCCCCATCCCGTGGCAGAGCCGGGGCTGCCTCCGAGGCACGTGGTGGGGCTGGCAGCACCTGAGCCAGCGACGCAGGGAATGGCACGGCATCGCCATTCCATGTTTTTTAGGTTCATCCCTAGCTTTTAAGCTAAAAAAAAGGGGGATCTTTGCCAAAAGAAGGCATGATACGAGGCCATGCTTGTGATTTTGGCTTTAATCCTGCTTCTCACGCGTTGCTGGGAAGGAAACGCGTGCCCAAGGGCTATGCCAGGCGCTGCACAGGCTGCGCTAGCCACTTTGGGCCACCCTGGGTGGGCTCCTAGGGTACCGGCTGCAGCTCCACGTGCTCAGCTCGCTCCCTGCTGCCACAGCTGGCACCACTGCCGCAGCCGGCGCCGCAGCAGCTCTGCATGCTGTCGGCCAGGGCGGCGTAGAGCAGCGGGTGCAGGCAGATGTTGAGGTTAACGAGGATTTTGCAGACCTGAGCGGTAGCGTGGATGGCTCTGGAGACGGCGCAGTCCTCCGTGCCCGGTCGCAGCAGGCGACGCCACAAATTGAGGTTACGGAAAATGTGGTAGGGCAGGTAGGAAAAGGCGTAGAGAGCCACTCCTGCCCCTACCAGCATTCCCACCTTCCGCTTTTCCGGCGGGCTGAGGTGAGGATTACGGAAAACAGTGCGGATAATGGCGGCGTAGGAGGAGGCGGTGAGCAGGAAGGGCAGCCCGCAGCCCAGCCCGGCCAGCAGCAGGCTGTAGGGATAAAATCCCCACAGCCGCTGCGGGGCCGCACTCCCCAAACACTCGATCGCACCCTCCGCTTCTTGCAGCTCTGAAAAATAAAAGGTGGGGGCTGAGAGCCCCCCAGCCAGCACCCAAACGACCGCGCTCAGCGCCTTAGCGTGGCGTGGCTGCAGCCGTCCGTGGACCCGCAGCGGGTAAACGATGCCGAGGTAGCGGTTGAGGCTGATGCAGGTGACGAAGAAGATGCCGCCGTAAAGGTTGCAGTTGAAAAGGAAACGTTCCAGCTTGCACAGCGCCGGTCCGTAGCGCCAGTCCTTGGGCGGGTAGTAATACGCTGCCAGAAACGGCAGCGAGAGGGAGTAGAGCATCCCGCTGACGGCCAGGTGGAAGGAGTAGACGATGCCGCTGTGCCAGGAGCGCTCGCGGGCGGCCAAACCGTAAACAGGCCTA